TGTCAATTCCAGTGCCAGTTGGCGGCGGGCTTAGGGCTTAGCTGTCAATTCCAGTGCCAGTTGGCGGCGGGCTTAGTTGTCAATTCCAGTGCCAGTTGGCGGCGTTATCCAAGGAATAATAGCCATAAACAAGGAGCTTCTTCTGCAAGAATATATCCTTCAAGGACTTCCTCAAGACGGAACAGACTCTCCTTTGTGCATCCAACGATCGCAAAAGGATGCATACTGCTGGCAAAAAAACAAACAAACATCACCATTCAGCTTCTTTCTTCTTCTTCTTCTTCTTCTTCTTCTTCTTCTTCTTCTTCTTCTTCTTCTTCTTCTTCAGATCAAAGCCAACATCCGCTTGGTTATGTACACACTTGCCCAGTAGTCTCCGCTGTGCATCCAACACTCGTAAAAGGAGGCACACTGGTGGCAAATAGATGAAATCGTGCTTCATCTCCAAGTCCAGCTTCTTCTTCTTCTTCTTCTTCTTCTTCTTCTTCTTCTTCTTCTTCTTCTTCTTCTTCAGCTCCAGCCAGCATCCGCTTGGTTATGAGCACACACATGTGGCCGGTGGCTGGCACATCAAGCGTCAGGTCTGCAACCACTTCGACACTTGCGTGGCTTTACATGAAGACAGCTCATGGGCAGTTCAACAAGTGCCTCAAGGCAGAAGATGGTCTTCTGTGGCTGCTGGCAGTGCAGTGTCAAGCACATCATCATGACGCTCCTGATCCACGCCTGTCTACCTTCTTCACCGTTTTCATCAACTCTCCACTCTCTTCAACTCCTTTACCAGTCTCCAGGCATAGACAGATGCTCCCCATCTTTGCCAACAAAAACAAAACTCTCAAAGTTGAATACGCTCTTCTGCTCCTCCTTTGTCCCTGTTATGTATATCCTACATTCGTCAAAAGAGGTCCACCACTCACTGGTCCCAGTGGAAAACAAGTCCACTCATTGGTCCCCGTGGAAAACAAGTCTCCATTGTTACCGCATCCAGCAGCAGCAGCAGCAGCAGCAGCAGAAGCAGAAGCAGAAGCAGAAGCAGAAGCAGAAGCAGAAGCAGAAGCAGAAGCAGCAGAAGCAGCAGCCTCTCCCAACTCATCCCATCTTCTTCACCCTGTCCCAAACCAACATCCACTTGGTTCTACGCAAACGACATAGAGATAAAAAGGAACTTAATTGAACACGCTCATGACATGAACTTTGCAGCACACACCTGAAGATGGAAAGAAGATATCTCCCTCTGTCCCTGCTGTACCCTGTGCTGGTAAAAAGCGGCTCAGTAACAGAGTTCATGCTTCAGTCAGCCAGCCAGCAGCTCCGAGTCCAGCTTGTCCATCCCGCATTCTAAAAGCGACATCCACCACTTGGCTCTACCCAAGCGTAGCATAGCAACAAGCAACTGCATAAAAATGCTCATGACCTTAACTTTGCAGCAAACGCCTCGAGATGGAAGGAAGAGATAGTCCCCTCTTTCCCCGCTGCCACCGTATGCTGGTGAAAGGCGGCGGCCCAGTCACAGAAAGAATAATTCATGCTTTGCTTCTGGCTGTCTGTCAGTCGTCAGCTCCGCATCCAGTTTGTTCACCCCGTTGGAAACCAACATCCACTCCAGGTGGCTTCTACCCAAACATAGCGATAAGGAACTTCTTATAAATGCTCATGAACTTTGCGACGAATGCCTCGAGATGGAAGATGGCCTTCTGTCCCTGCTGCATCCTGTGCTCATAGTACGCGGCCCAGTGACACACTTCATGCTTCAACTCTGAATCCAGCTTCTTCATCAGTTCTAGCATGAGTCTCTTCAGTACCACCTCCGGCGGAATACAATTGACAAGCAGTTCATACAGTTTCTGCCGGATTTGAAACAACCTCTTTGGGCTCTGCTCGCTCAGTATCTCGCCCGCAATCTCGGCTATGTACAGCTCCCAATCTGTGGTCTGAACGGTCTGGTTTTCCGTGAAAGGGTACTGCTGCACCTTGCAGGCCTCGAAGGAGAGCAACGCTCTGCGCAGGTTGCGATTCGAGTGGTGGGCGATCCGTCCGGCGAGGGAGGACGGAAGCACCAGGTTCTCCTTCTTCGCCACGTGGCGCAGGACGCTCATGACGTCCTCGTTGCTCGGCGCGCTTATGCGCACGCTGAGGCAACGACTCCTGACAGCCTCGATCACCTTCGACGCGCTGTTGCAGCACAAGATCAGCCTGCAAGAAGCACTGTACTTCTCCATCGTTCGCCGCAGGGAGTGCTGTGCCTCTTTGCTCAGCTTGTCCACCTCGTTCAGCACCAGGACTTTGTACTTCCTGTTCCCTGAAACGATGTCCAGAGGCCGACTCTTCGCCATCTCTTTGATGACCTCCTGGACCACATAGCGGTCTTGGAACCCCGCGTCACTCGGATTCATCTCCACGTGGAAGTTGCTGGAGACCATCGTCAGCTCCACCTCAATCTTCCTGCTCCCTGCTTCGATCTTCCAGGGCTTGTTCTCAACCTTCACCCGCTCTGCGCTGGGCCCATACAGCTCTCGCAGAAGCGCCATGATCAGCGTCTTCTTCCCCGATCCCGACGGCCCATAGAAGAGCAGATGGGGGCAGTCTCCAGTAGACACCAAGTTCTTCAGATTCTGCGCCTCTTCCATGTGAATTACCATCTTGTCCAACGTGTGAGGACGATACTTATCAACCCACAACATCCTTGCTTTCCCTTTATCCGCTCCCTATCTTATCCCCTCCCTCCCTCTCTTACCCGCCTTGTCTTATCCCCTCCCTCCCTCTCTT